CGGGCATCAGCCCTTTTGGGCCCCATCTGTGGTGGTCTGATGGCTCTGTGAGGCGCGCGCGATACGCGGCATACCATGCTGTGTAATGTGTGCAGTGCACGAATGCACGGTTGGCGTGGTGGCTAGGCAACCGGCTACTGCGCCACTTGTAGCGGGTTCGATATACGCACGGAACAACTCCTGTGTGATCCCCAAATTGTTGTTCCGGGTTTGGGTGTCATGTGTATGTGAAATTGTTTGTTTATAAATGCACCTACGACACAGGCGACAATCCATAGGTGGGTGCAACGTGTAAAAAAAAGTAAGAAAAATAAAACAAAATCAAGAAATAGTAACTTATATCTTAGAGCTTAGAGTAAGTTTTCAAAGTCTACAATTTTTTTGCGTATGATACTGTTATTTTGTAATAGTACGTACTACGTTCAATGATATTCGTAGCGGGGATCACGTAGCAGCTACGTGCGTAGCAAACGCGTAGCAGTGGTCGTAGCGAGTGAGGCTATTTAATTTTCCTTTATTTTCTTTCATTTTGTGGTTTATCTACATTGACATTGGTTTTGTAAGCCAAACCGCAATGGTAGTTGAATGTGTTATACGAATTTTAATTAGGGTATTATGTATTTTTATGTAGTTGTTTTTCTTATACACATAAACCAAAGGAACTCTATTCTATAAATAAAACAACAAAAAAACTCAATTTTAGAAAGTTTATTGCAGGTCGAAAAGGCATTGGGGAAACATTAAAGCAACCATACATCGAACCTGCGACCTTATGGTGGCCGCTAATTTACTATAAACCTTTACATTTCCTTAATTACACTCCGTACCGTGTGTAATTTTATACAAACAAAATGCAGTGATGGCTAAAAGTACCACGGAGTACCAATTTTGGGTTAAGATGTGAAGTTTAAATGCCATTGTTGCTCTACTAGACGTTGCATAGTTACGAGCTGTCCGAACCCACCGATGCAGCGCACGGATATTAAAACGCAGGCTGTGCCTAATTCCGGCCTCCCCGTCGCAGGACATACCATAATTCAACTGCGAACCGGCCGAAATTCCACACATCCCGAGTTTTACCGTCACAGACCGGTGAGAAGACAGCCAAAATCATAAAAAATCCACTCAAATAGGGACTACAATAGAATGGAAGTCATAATACTATGAAAATCAAGAAAAACTCAAGAATTTTACGTTTTTTAATTTGCAGTTTTTCGCCTTTTTTCTCTAGTAGACTACTAAAGGCTTTTACTTAGAGCGTCTTCGTAGAAGGCACTTATCGAGCGCTGAGTACCTACTAAGTTCGAATAATTGATAATTAGTAATAAGTCGTTGACTATCATTATACAACTGGTCCAAACCTCCGCTGACGGTCACCAGTGTCCTTAATGACGTTTAGCGTGTTAATTATTGACGACCCTATGTTTGCAGGATAGGGTACATTTTTGAAAAAGACGCTCCCTAGTAATTTATACGAAGACACCCTAACTTAACACTATAATATTACATCTAAAAACTTGGTTTCACGGCAGTGTGGTGCTGGCTGCAACACTCCATGTCAACAAGGCATATTTTAGAGAAATTTCAGTTAAATACAAAGTGAAAAATAATAAAAATTATCTTACAAAGTACTTAATATTATAGTGAAACAATATTTAAAGATAATTAAAACCAAGTAGTGGTTCTTTTAGTTAGGTGGCATGAAGTACAATCGACAAAAATTTTGGTAAACAGGTTTTATATGTATTTACATTTACACGACGCTGTTCATTGTTGGTGACTTTTTCAGTCCATTGATAGACTAGACTGGGCTTAGAAATTTATTAATAGTGATTATTAGACCTGGGTTCTTCATTTTTGCCGGTTGTACATTAAAGTATGAACTGTTTCGTTTGTATATAATTATCTTACACCAAAATGTGTGTTATCGAGCAAAGAAAATGTATATGATCTTTTGATAGTAGGTTTATTGAATGTATTACACACGGTACCTATCATTAACTACAATCAGGTAATAATAGTTACAATAGTCTTTAAACAGTAGGTATAAATATTTGAATAGATACTAGTTGTTGCTATAATACTAGTTTCGCATTTAAATGCTGAGATTATGTGAAGTACCAATATATATAGTTCTATTATATGAAGATTATTTATGTCAGATTGGTATAACTTGGTATTTTATATTCTGTAATCGTTCAAGTGGTTTCATCCAATGCGCGTGCGCCCTAGACGGTGTGGGCGTTACAGATACGTATATACATAAGTATACAGCTGAATGTATATGTAGATGTACTGTAATCCGGCCTATTTGTCATGTATTTGTATATTTTTATATCTTATGATACTTTTTATATAGAAAAGATTTTTTTTAAGGGGGAAAGCATCGATTGACTGCTCCCGCCTGGGTGATATACTTGGTTATACCAGGTGTATACGTTTGTAGTAGGGGTACTTAATTGTACCTACATGCAAACTTATAAGTATTATATGTTGTGTTCTATCTTGTTTCATAATGTTTCTTAAGCTTTCAGTTCTTATATACTTAGCATTAAAGGTTTATTTATGTTTATGTGTGTGCCTGTGCTATGTATAGTCTGAGGACCAAACTTATACCTTGTTCATTGTGTTCCTTGAAAAACTGGCTTTCTATGGCAAGGATATATCATCCGATATACTGCATTTGCGTAGATATTGTGTATTAATTAGAGATTTTGACTAGGTGATCACTTTAATTGGTATGTAGTATTTTTTCTTATACCATACTTGGTCTGTTTCAGAGTTAGTTCATTATGTGATTTTTTCATACAACTCTTAATAGTATACTTACATTTTTATTTATTCCACGTTTTATGTACAGGTTCTAATTCACTTATAGGTTCAAAAATTTTATTCAATAATTAATATAAAGGATGGGAGAACCGTTTGGAATTCCAACGCGAAATGAAACATTGATCAAAAGCAGAATATAATTCATATAATCCCAGCAGAAAAACGTATCTATTCAAGTAGTTGTCTAAAGAAAAAGCAACATTAAATATTGTAATAGATATAGTGTAGTTATAATAGTTACCACAAACCATTAAGTTTGTAGTACAGTCAACATTAGTCTGTGCATCATTTAATACAGTGGCTATATACTACACAGAGTGCTACATACCTCCCAGAATATTTATTAAACAACTTTTTAGTTCTTGAAACGTGGATCAACCCGTAAAAACACATATTATAATAATCTCCTACACTTGTGATTTACGACTGTCTCGAAACGAGGCTGAAGAGGCGCAATTGAAAACGACACAATCCAATGAACATTCAATGTTTTTACGGGTCTCAATAAAATGTATAACTAACAATAATATAGAACAATGATATAATAACACAACACATGAATCACATCGTTAAACAGCTAACAGCTACTTGGTTAACATTCATCTACGTACGTCGATTAATTTATTTTATTTAATAATTATGTGAAATCTTTAACAGAATTATGTTAAGCATCTACGTAGTACATTGAAATGTAATAGACGACTATATATTGATATAATATTTATTCAAATTTCCTAAAGCCAAAATCTTTCGTTTCACGGTGACCAGACGCAGTATGTCTGCGCTATCAAGCTATTATATTATTATACGTTTCCATTATGTATCAACCCCAAAAAGGAACATGTAGTTGTTGAAGTAACAGTAACAAGCAGAAATAATTTGGCTTAAGAAACATGATATGCATTTCATGTGGTTGCGAGGATGTATATAATAAACCATGAAGGATCGATACGATGAGACAAATATAACAAGATAAACTTTCTTTGTAAACTATTTGATAACCAACTAGAGAGTATCAGTGAATTTATATAATAATAAATAGTGATATTTTTGTGATAAAAAATAGAAAACTGCGAGGCCACCTCGACTACAGATGTTTTTGCCCCATAGGCCAGTACCTAAGGTAAAAAGTAAGAAGTATATTGTCTCATCACGACTGCATAAATATGAGGATGGGTTTGCGCTCCACAATCGGCCGCGACAGATGGTACACAGCCGACGATTGATGTTATTACCCGAGCCTCGAGGCTCAGGGTGTCGCAGGGGAAGTCAACGAAGAGAAGCTAGTAACACCCTGTTTCTTCCTAATCCTACCGACCGCCGCAGAATATTGACGCGTGCGCCGCTTACTCGCACGTCGTTGTTCTGTGCGCTGCACTGTGTCAATATCCTGCGACGGAGCTTAGTTACATCGCTACACTCGCGTGTTGATCGCTTGCCGAGGAACTAGAATAGTTCTTACTCTGACACGCGGGCCTCGCATTACATTGCAATGAGTACCGCTATGGTTCCTCCCGGCTGGTGTTGTCAAGCCGTGATAGACCTCTGTCGACACGTCAACACGTCGCGTCACTCTAACATACGCCTCTAACATACCCTCTATTCGCAGGTACTAGAACGTGCTCTTGTACTTATTAACTAGTAATAAGTATTATTAGCTATATACAGTACAATCTACATGTCCCGACCGTTCCTCTACACACAACAGATCACCGACAATTTTATCGTTAATTTTGATTTCCCAATATTCCATTATAAACTCTTATAAATATTACATATTCATCAAAAATGTTTATATATCCAGATATTCTAACATCAATAAACATTGGCTAAGTAAACATCTAGTACCATTTTACTAGGTAAATAAACATTTAGACCTACTTTAGTACATTTTAATAATTCTGACTACTTGGGATTGTTCGCAGGGGTAACATCAGCAACATCAGTGAAAACGAATATAGTGTGAATACACACATAAAAATATTTTCGTAGAATAATTTGTAGATAGGATAGTAGGTAAGGTATAATACTGCATTACATCCTCTCGCTACTGCGAGGATAAATCGCTAAAAACTGATAGCAGAGAAACGGTCTAATGTAGAAGATCGATAACGATCAGTGGTTGGCCGACATCGTAAAGAGGATGCCGGTCGGTGTCGAGTTAGGCCTTAAGCGTTGGATTCCTTGAGGTCGGTGAGCCGTGCCAGCTGCGCGGGCTCGAGCTCGTCGGGGATGCTGGCGCGGCCACCGCGCGGAGCCGCGGGCGGCGACTGCGGCGCGGTGGGCGGACCTGACGCCACGGACGCGCCGCCGGACTCGCCCTCGGAGGCCGTCGAGCTGGAGTGCGGGTGCGGGGCTGAGTCAGCCGGCCCGTCGTCCGAGTCCCGCAAGCAGACCGCTGTCTGCTCTGATAGAGATGACTCATCGTCATCGTTCTCCTCGCGCTCAGGTTCGGGCAGCGTCTCCGAGTTGATTTCGGCTTCACCGTTGGCTTCAGCTTCAGTTTCGGCTTCTGGTTCTGGTGGAGGGAATGGTTGGTCGGGCTCCTCCACCATGGGCGTGGCCGCGGTGATGACGATCTGCGCCACACCCAGCCCACAGTCCTCCGCGGTCTGCTCAGTCTGCACCGCCTGCACCGGCTCCGGGATGTTCTAGTGGAGGAAACGCCTCGCTTAGTCACATCGTGGGATAATAATGTTACAGGAAGAAGTTGAAAGTTTCGGATTCTACAGTACTGATCGCATTCCGAAAGTAAATTCAACTCATGCATTGAAGCGACATGCTATGATGACATGAGCTACTGAAAGTAGTTCAATTCAAGTTTAGGTTTCACTTATAATTCTTGGGGAGCGATTTATAAGTGAATGTTGAAACAATAACAATAGCAACAAGCTACGATGTAAACAAGCTTCAACAAGCAACATGTAGGGGTACATAGTTGTGTATAGAGGGATAGATTTGTATTATGGAGTCAAACCTCTTCCCAGCATTCACCGACCACTTCGTCGACTGAAGCATGAAAAAGAATTCACACTAAGTTAACACTAAACATAAACAAAGTAATATTACATTTACACAGATATCCTGACACAAGAATGAATACATCGAAAGCTACGCAAATATCAACATCTTGCTAGTGTGCCAGCTATATTCTCAAACGCAACTCAATTATTGATATAATTTGTTTACTCATATACATATGTACAAGCATATATTTGTAAGTGGTGCGCTCCGCTCCATCGCGCGTAAAGTGAATTCGGGTATTATAAAGGAGCCGAGGTGACAGTTCCGTAATTAACTGGTCAACTAACAAAAGTTTCAAGTAAATTGAGTAACATTTGAGAATTAACTGTGTCACTGTTGTTGTTAGTTGATAGTTTTATGTATCATTTATTATTTACAGTTATTTACCTATACAGGTGTAGTCGAATATGTGGGTGATAATTTAAACTTAGATACAACTCTTCATACGTACGTATTGTGTTATGCCAGACAATTATTTTATGTTCTTACTTTGCAAAATGTCTAAATGAGCCATGTCGGCATGAATCAATAAGATTTCGGTCTACCCAATGCAATGGTATATTGCATATCTACTTTATTGCCAAAATGCGCGGGTTTTTGATCTTTGCAAGATTTACGAAAAGTTTAGAATTCATTCTTGTATGAATTAATAATAATCTGTGTGGCAGTAACCATACTGCGCTTAGTACAGCTAGTAGAAGCTTAGTTTAAATTATCACTGTCAAATTCAATTACAACTTGTTTATATTGAAGTAATATTAAGGTTATACATAGATTTATTTTCAAATGTATTGCCAAATGTCATAAACTAATTACTAGAGTCCTTGGGTCGCATGGTATTTACTTCATGGTCGTATAATATATGCATATATAGTCAAGTGTTCTAAAACCCTCGACGTGTTTTCTTCCCTACTTACTTTTTTATTTAGAAATGCGTGCCTATAATATTTATAAATAAGCCACACCGAAAATGAAGAATTTACAAGGAAAATTCTTAAAAAATAACAATGAAATCAGTCAAATCAAAGGAAACTTTCTGCTATCGTAATTTGACGGGATTCGTGTTTCAAAACAAATGGATAACTTATAAGAAATTACGTATACAATTTCAGTAAGGTTGCAAAATAGAGCGACCTCACAAACACTTTTGTATTTTTAACTTTATTACCGCAACAGAAGGAAAATTTTTGTAACTTCTTGTTTAATCATGGCTTCCACGGTTCGTGTATTATTTTAACATCGTCTACTTGCGTAGTTGTGTAACTACGTAAATTTTTATACTTTACAAATTTACAGCTCTTGATATTATGAGATTAAAAAAGAAAGATACTCCGTTAGCATGTAGGTAATGTTCGAATTAATCATCAGTTATTTATATTTCGGCAAATGTAATTAACACTATAAAATGCTATTTCAGTATTCGCTGTATAATATATAGTTAAAACTAATACTCATACAATTTAGTTACTACTTCAAAAAATATTATAAATGCGAGTGTAACTTTGTTCGTCTTTTTATTTGTTACCTCTTTACGTTTTATCTATCCAACCAATATTCTTAATATTTTGCATACATGTAGATATAAGTACGAATAAGGACATAAGTTACGTGAACAAAGCTACAGAAAAGTATTTATCCTTTCATTTCCTACACAAAAATAATAAAATAAAAATCTTGTGCATAGAATGCGACCGCTTTTAATACATTAGTAATTGTTTCCGAATTCTTAGTGTAAGCATAGAGTCATATATTACACTACACAGTACCTAATATATTCACCCTCTGTGACGTGAGGACAATAACAATTAGAGAAAATTAATGTTAGCCTCGCCTAGTATTTGAAGGAAAAAACTTACTAACGTATTATAATTTTTACGTACACACGATTGATATGATTACTTTATTGAATAGCTTTTTCTAGCAACTTCGCCGTGGAATGAAAAGCCTGTGCTAATTCAGATCATAATATACCCATGTTCCACATTTCATCCCAATCCCTTCAGCTTTTTTGACGTGAAGTAGTAATAATCAAACATACATTTTTGCATTTATAATATTAGTAGGATAAACGTCTGCAGTTGTTTACTTACTCCATAAGTTAATTTTTATTTTGTACTTATGGAAATCGAGTAAGAGTTGGACTATAATTATGTTGTAGGTATTAAAATATGAAGTTATTGCGGGTTATAAAAAATATTGAAATCTACCTCTTACATAGTTAGGGATTGTTTAAAACCAGTCTTATGTGATAATTATGTCATATGAAGTATCAATACTTGAAAAATCTCTTTTTCTGAATTCATTTTATACATTAGGGTTCTGTAGGCCAAGTTTTTTCATTAACTAAAAATCGTGGGTTACTTACGAGAATATACTGAGAAAAGCTCTACTATTATTTAACGCAAGCAACGAGTAGCGCGGTAGCAACGACATCGCCTCGACCGCGCACGCTGCTCATGAGGAAGAACCCCTGTGTGGTTCGAAACTAGTAGAGCTTTTCTCAGTATATTCACGTGAGTAACCCGCGATTTTTAGTTAATTTAGTATGTCTCACGATAGTTATTATAAAAACAAGATCTTTCATTATTCAATTTTAGACTAACCATTAGGTACTAAATTTTAATTTGTCTGAGAAGTGACTCTTATCATTTATTTGGCAATCGAACCTGACTATGGCAATCCTTTTGAAAACATCAAGTCACCTCAAACTGCCAAACTTCGACCGACTTTCAACTTTATAGTTTTGTAATTAAGTCGAAAATCCATTTGGTCTATCAGTTCAGGGGTAGCTTGACGAACCGTAGAGTAAACCTGGACCTCTACCATGAGTTTAAAACAATAGTGTTTGTAGATAATCGATAGTGACAACGTAAATTTTTGTTCCGCGTAGATAACTGCTAGAAGTACTGTAAAACCATGCAAAAATGTACGTCTACCACTATCGAGTATCAACAAATACTATTGTTTTAAACGCATGGTATAGATGTAATATCGAACTTACCGACGATAGTAACGGATGGGGCGGCGAACTGAGTGCCGTAGTGCTCCTGCTGGTTCCTGCTAAGCTCAAGATTAAAGCTGAAGTCGGGCTGGCTATCCATGGAGTCCCCAAGATCTGGGGGCGGCGGTGGTGGTGGGGCATCAGGGGGCGCAGCACCTTTAGTATTGTTGTTGTCAATCTCCACCTCTAGCAGCGTCCATAGGAATATACAGTTCAGCCATAGCAGGATCAGTGCAAATTTTGACATGCAATCACTGGACGTGACTTGGCCAATCAGGGTTATGGGAGAATACACGTCGTCACCGATTCGTCATTTATTAAAATTTAAAATAGTTTTGTCGTTGTGGTTTCAATAGTCCACTATAATAGTTGCCCACGTTAATGAAGATGTATTCAGTCTTTACTTATTATTTCAAATACTTATCTAATTTTTTTACTCGACAATGTTGCGAATGTATAAAGGGTGTATTTTTGACATTTGTCTTGAAAATATGACATATTTTTTTGTACGGATACATTTTAATTGTATCATGATAAGATGGAGTGGTACTTTCGATTACTTTTTCCATTTGCAGACAAATCGATAACTTAATGTATTCATGCTGAATGCTGTACAAATTTTGGGTTTGAAGCTTTATTTACATTTTTTTAAATGTTCTTATTATTATTCAATTTAGTATTACAGTGAGATTTTCGTGTCTAGCTAGATTAAGTATATGTGTTTATGTGTAATATATAGTGTAGAATAATATAATAAAACTGTCAAAATATTTAATAAAAACAATAAAAAATATCTATGTCTATGTACTTTTTATTTACGTATGTTGTTTATGTAATTCCTATTGTAATACATATTTCGGATCAAACTCGTAAAGAGGCTCTTTATCAACAATTAAGATATTCGTGAATACGAATGCGATAAATAAAACCATTCACGAACACTTTCTATGGTTAGGTAACTTATATTGAATTCTATTTGTGACTAAATGAGTATATTTCAAAATAATTCAAAATTTCCATAAGAATCTTGCAATGAGCAAATAGCTTCACTTTAAAAAAATATTATTGAAGTTTAGAAGTTCCTTCCTGGTCTAATTCAAATTAATGATTTTGACTTTGAACGACAAAACGTGTGCAATACCCTGAAGATCCTAACATGAATGGTGAATACATATATAAGTTGTAACCGGAGTTCAGACCCTGATGTTTAAAGTACTGCTATTAATTGATATGGAAACGTATAAGAAAGTACTCATTATCAACAAAGAGCAATGTAAAGAATTTCTTCGGTTATAGTAGCAAACAGGACAGCTAAACACGATGTCATCTCCAATTCCCGGATAGGTAAAATATTTTTTTTTTTTATAGCATAATCCGGTAATCCGGCAGACGGATCACCTGGTGGTAAGCAATCGGCGCCGCCCGTGGACACCCGAAACACCAAGGTGTTACAAGTGCGTTACCGGCCTAATTTATTCGGGTTTTACAATTTCCAAATTCTGAGTCATCAACATCATCATCATCATTAACAGCCTATAAGTGGCCACTGTTCTCCAAAGGCCTCTTCTAGCACGGAGAAGGACTGAGCATTAATCACCACGCTTACTCAATGCGGGTTGGCGATTTCAAGCTTAGAAATGACAAGCCCAGGTTGCCTCACGATGTTTTCCTTTCACGCTTTTGTTAGTGGTCCTAGAAAGTACATTTTAAGACGCTCGCTTCTTATGAATAAGAATGGGGGTTCGAAAGGCAAGTACCGATGTGACTTTTTCCGAGTTATAAATTCTGTGTAGATAACATATAACATAACATAACATCACGCCTTTTATCCCCGAAGGGGTAGTAGTGCACATTATGCTACTGTACAATGTAACAACCACTTTTCACTATTGATGTTACGAGTGCCATGTAATAGGGGGTGAGCCTATTTCCATATATCGGGCACAATTCTAGACTCTGTGCTACTACTGAAATTTTTTTTAAAAACCCAGTAATACTTTGCACAACCCGGGAATCGAATCCGAGTCCCCTTTGGCCGGCAGTTGCACTTGCGACCAATTGGTCAACAAGGCAGTTATAAAATTCTGTGTAGATACTTTTATTTATATACTTATCAATCATTTATATTCAAAGTCTTGCGCTCTATTCAGTCTAATCAGCATTAACCTGTGGTATGCTGGAATATAGATCTACGCTAGACACAATGTGTTTTCTATTGTGTCTCATATACCGACATTCAAGTGGTTAAACGATTTTTTTTTACAAAAGTCTAAATCGCAATACACACACCATAATTATCTTTCCACTAAAAATTATGACACTAGATCAACTTCTATGACGATTTCGATTAATAAAAAGCCTCTTCACAGATCCTTCTCAAAGCGCACCAAGTTATTATGTAATCTTAAACATTTTTGTTGTTGAAGCAAAGATCGCGTTTTGTAACCAATAATATCTATTTACAAATACTTACTTCGTGCAATACATGCATTACTTAGAATGTGGTGTCGATCCTAGCGGCTAAACGTGCGACACAAACATGCCAATTGGAATACACAATAATGTATTAGCCCAATCAGCCAGAACTACCATCTCGACCATGGAATAGGTACATGAAACATTCATAAATCAAAGGCCTTTAGAAAAGGGACAAACTGTTAAAAAAATTGGCGATTAAAAGGTACTTATTTCATATAAATTGTTTCTTTACAGTCTTACAGGTCAATGCAAAGTGAAATCAATGTAATAATAAGATTTGGCTTATTTTTAAAGTGTATTTTCCTCTGTCTGGTATGCGTCTATTGAATACTGTCATTGTCCGTCTATGCAACACTAATGCTAACATTTATAGTTAGAGAAATCATTGCAAACAATGCTATAAGTATGTCTCCTTATGGTTCAATTTTATCATGTAGTGAAAGTGTGTTGGCCGCCATCGCACAACGACATACCATTATGATAAAACATAATTTACATAACTTTGGTCTATCTTTAAGTTCGATAACGAGCTGCGCTTGCCAAAAAGTATAATATAAGATCATTAATAAATAAACCCATAGATCCCCAAGCGGTCACCGGTGGCCGCTCTCCACTACCTACATTATAGACCTTATATCCAATGCTTAGAGACTTTTGTATGAACAAATTTAGGGGATGAATTTATTTTCAACTTTACAGTGGTTATAATGCAAAGTCAAAAAGCTTCAAATTCTTAAAACAATTTCCAAATCACAGTTTTTTAGTTATTATAAAATCTTCTTGAAGTGGTATGTTAGCCTTATTTCCTTCAAGGTTTAAAGAAATTACGTCATCGTATTGGCACGTCACTTTAAAAAATAGACAAGACAGTTTAAATAGTATGTTTATGAATAGGCAGCACATGTTAAGTGATAGCTGTCCACGTAATACTTAGCAATTATACTTTAACTGATCGTAAGACGATGCAATATTATAACTAACATTTTTCATGTCATTTTAAAAATGCTTTGAATTTTTTATGGACTACTTGATTTATCGACTAGACTGTAAGTTACGGCGAAAAGTACCAACGCTTTATTGTATGATTCTTTCCTTTAAATAAATCATTACGTATTCAAAATCCTTGATTTTCTTTTAGCGTTTATCTTTAGTAACATAGAAGAAGAATTAGCTTCGATTAAAACAATTGAGTTTTGTTTTCAGTCTTCTAACAAGAAGATGTTTCCAGTTTCAGTCTTCTATCGATTGTATCAATAGGAAAGAACAGTTGTCCCCTTTCTGTTGTCTACCAAGCTACTGATGCACATGAGTTCCTTACGGTCCTGGGCGCCGGCAGCTTCGGGTGGTGTGTGCGGCGGTGAAGCAAACACCGGTGGAGCAGTGGTCAGCGGTGGCCACTCTTCGCCACCACTCAGAGGCTCGCCGTTCTAATTTATTCAAAACCATTTTATATATCCGAAATAATATGTAGATATATAAATCTTTAAACTTGTCTAAATTCAAAAAGTTTCATATGTTCATAACTGAACAAAATGCTATAAAAACTAACCCGTTCACCTGAAGATCGAATTCAGTAGCACCACCCATATTTACTAATACAGTCGTACGAACATACCTTTAAAAAGTTTCGTAAACATCAGCTCCTGTTCTTTGCATACAATAAAGTATACGTCAAGTAATTAATAAACGAGGAAAAAACTGTAAATAAAACAAAGAAATGTGTAAACAATAGTCAGTAAGTTAAAAGGTTTCCAAGGAGAAGGACGAAAGGTTTCGAAATGAGGAAAATTAAATGAAAAAAAAGGTTTTAAGTAAAAAAAAACTCTTATTGCGTATTATTTTTGGGCACCCCTTGTGTGCGATCACGTATCTGCCCGTTTCATTTGTACTCCAAAAGGGAAGAATCCCTCTTTCTTCGGTCTACATTCGTAAGAATTTTCCGGTGGTTGTATAGGACGGCCTACCTCATCACATTCCTCCACAATCAGAGATGGGAAGTTGCCAACCACTCCGTTGGCTTCTCCGCGCCACCAGCCGTCGTCGACGCCGTGAGCTTCGCGGGACAGGATGCGGATAATCTGTACAAAGAGAAGTGTTATGAAGAGAATGTTCAGTCTTTGTAAGTTTGCATAAGAGAATCAAGTGACTTCGCACCTGTCCTTCTTCCAGGTTCAACTCTTCGGGACATTCAGCGTCGTAGTCGTACATGGCGAAGCAATAGCCAAGAGTTGGCTGATCAGGCTTCGGAGCGGCTGACGCAGGAGCAGATGCCTTAGAGGTCTCGGCAGTCGGCCACTCAGCCACGAAGGACTCTTGTTGAGGTTGTTCCTCGGCTTTAGGCTCTTCAGCTTTGGCCGGGGGCCGAATCACTGAGATCTGGTCAGGAGACTGTACCACATCAGCATCTTCACCTTCGACGGTGTAATCAACTGAAGAGAATGAGATCTGGGAAACCAGACCCGGTGCCCGAGCTGGTGCATGGCTACAAGAACAATATATTTCATTAGCAAAAAAAGGAAACCCAACAGCAGAAAAGTCAACGACTGATGTGAACCGGTATTTATTTTCAATGTGTATGATTGCAAAACGATGTTTAAATAAAATTAACTTAGTGTTTTATTGATATAAAATAATATCCTTTTGGCTCATCACAAAGTATGAACTTGTTTACAAACTGGTTCTTATTCAGTCGTTGGGGTCGGTCGTGGGGTGCATACAGTACCTGTTCGCGGTCGACATCCAGATAGTTGTGGGGCACATAGCCTTCCTCGCCGCGGTAGTTCCTGGCACGAAGCCATCCATCGCCGTCTCCTTCGCCAACGACTTCCAATTGCTCGCTCTCAATGATCGACAGCTCATCAGGGTTTTGAGCCTATTTGAAAATATAGTGTGATGTATTGTTCAAAATTTGAGTGGATTTTGATGATTAATAGCCAATTGGAAAATAAAAATAATAATGTCCAAAACATAAAAAATAATTTTGGAAAAATCGCGAGCATGATATTCGGATGTGTAGTGAGTGTCTACATGTGGTGTGTGTGTATTCAATTTTAGTGGAAGAGGGGAAATGAAACGATTTTTTGCTTTGTGTGCGGATTTGTAATATAAATTAACAACAACATTGTTTCGCAGACAAATCTGAGTTTCTATACCAATTATTTTGTATAACTAGTTTTTTTTATTTTGTTCATTAAGCGGTTACATTTTCAAGTCTCGAGTGTACACCTGTACAGTGTACAGCTACACAACTACTCGACGGCGAGCTAAACATTCCTACTTCACGTGAACTTTTAAAACATAAAATGTTCCTTGTTTACTTTTTTGAATAGATTTTACACAATGGTTATCAACAAATGTCACAACGTGTTTAAATATGAACGTGTCTGTCATGTTACATCAGTTTGACTAAAACATGAACATATCTAAGCTAATGCTTAACATTTACCAATTTACTTAACCTAAATTCCGTCCCTTTTATACATTGAATGAGAACAATAGCATGGGCGTAGCAGATATACATTTTATCGAAGCGTTGTAATCTCGACTTGGAGATTCTGTCTACAATGGAGCCTAAACTGAGAATTCTATCTAGAGGTACTGAGTGACAGATCATTATCGCGCCGGAGATGTGGCTAACCAAAATTATCAATCAATTGTCGAGTTGAACCGAAGTTTGTTAACACGGTTCGTGCTTCTGTTGAGAGGGGAACCAATGGAGCGTGTTTGTTTAGGATTAAGTCTAATACATTGAGCATATAGGTAAGTAACCTAATGTCTTTATTTATACACAAGAAACGTATGTCATCCGAAAATGTAAAATGATTATAATACTTACCCTTAACTATGACAAATGACACTAATATAGAATCGATCTTAAAACTACCACTAGTAATGATAAAGAAACATGTGAATTAAATAAATAGAAGTACAACGATGTTTTTAAAATTTATTTATTTCGCAATCATTATAGTAATGAGAATGTGAATCTGAAAAACGTACAAAATAAATAGCAGAAGTAAATAAAAAAATTGATCGTTTAGTTACTTTTTATTGAAGCATAAGAAGGTTAAATGTGTTTTTATTTACGGATCGGCGCTCGATACGCAGATGACGTAGTGGGCTTTGTTGCCATTGCTCGGCAAACTTACCGTATATGAGTACAAAGCAGTGCATTTGTACAAAGGAGCTGCAGGAGCTTCAACGGTCTCGGCGGCTGGTTCACCCTCGTCCCAGTTCACTTGGGTCGGATCATCCCAACCAACTGTCAGTTGCTCGATGCGCATGCGATCCTCTTCCAGCATAGCTAAACGAAATTAAAAATTTTGTAATCAAAGTTTTGAAGCGACTCAAAAAGAGAGTCGATGTTCTCAAAGTCAAAGTATTAATTATTTTGATTAAACCATCATGAAACCTGTAATTCCAATAAACAATACATGGTTCAATTGTAATTGTACATATAAAATCTTTATTCCTTGAGTACTTCACGTACATATAAAATAATGTACAGTGTACATATAAAATCTTTATTTTGTGATTGTGCCACTTACCGTCAACGTCCTCATCATGTTCGTCCTCGTTTGGGAGCCAGAGGTGGTGCGCTGGTGGCTGCTTGAAGCGACGGCGGCCGAGGCCGAAGCCGAAGCCGACGCTGAAGTGCCTTCTCCCTCAGTATTGTCGCTATCGTAGAACGAATCAGAGCTCGGCTGATCCTGGTTAAACAAATATTAAAGAAATCAATTAATATTTATTTTGTTTAATATACCTTAGTATTAGGTCAATTTCTAAACTACCTTTATGTAAAAATGTAACTTAGCAGAAAAATAAAACTCACGACCTACAAAATAATAATATTAATTGCAAAAATCGCTGTTGCTTCAAAATGTTAGTCATGCAGCGTCTAATAAAATATTCCGTCGGATAGCATATTCAAATGTAAAATAAATGAACTACAGATAAATTGCGAAAACAATAAAACATAAAAGAAACGCTTACAAAGCTTTGGCTATAGAGAGGAACTCGCTGAGCGTTAAAAAACTAGAAATAATTTGCCGACGGCAGTGACAACTAACTCAATTTTGTGGAAAACTGATTATAGCATAGCAAAAAACTACCATAAGAATTTAAAACAGAGTATAAGCAATAGTGAAGTGCCAATACCTTTATTACTATTAATTAATTCCTTAAGAAAAAAATTTTTCAATGAGCCGACTAATTGAAAACCGTAAATCATTCGAACAATGTCAGTTGGAAGGTACTGGCTCTTCACGGGCAGTAAATAAGGGAACATATTTTGATGGACTAGCAATAGAAAATGGTATACTTACAGCTGCGCCGGACGCATCAGTACGAACGCTGAGTAGGCTGCTACTGCGCTGCAATGGCTCCTGGACAGCCAACAGATCCACTTCCTTCAGCCAGTCGTCCACAGGGCACCACTCACACGGAGACACTCAAGGCGGGACTCATACTTGGCCTTGGAAATCTCCGACCGACGGATAGTAGCCCGCAACTCATCCAAGCGAACGTCCAACTCAGGACCGTTAGGATCATTCGGATCCACCTGGCAGGCAAGCAAACAATACATTTAAGTCCTTATTCTACAAAAATAGGTTCAAACAAAAAACACTTACGTTTTCATCAAAATTTTCGAAAAACATGAACAATAAAACTATGTAGTGCCAACGGATATTCGCAAACATTATAAAAATATTTAGTGAGATCAAAAAACTGAAGTTATCACTAATGAGTGTTATAATTATAAGAATATATACAATCGTTTTATACTTATTTCGAAACACTTGATACTGAATACTGCGCAAAAAGTACAGCGTCCGATGTGTACATATATTACGACAATTAGATTATTTTGGTCATTTAATGTTGTATATCTCACCACAAGGCCCCTACAAATATCGTAAATGGAGAAGACCAAGCCCATAACTATAGAGCTTATAGACTTTTATATTAATTTATTGATGACTTATAGTAGTGGTGATTAGAAGTGCAATGCACGAAGACAATGGAACGAATGACGCCGTCACCCGTTCGCGGCTAGTGCTAGCTAATAGTGGCCATTAAATATTCAGAGCGATTTACTGGCAAGTACAAAAACTGTTTAGCGAGGCGTATTATTGTTTTTTCTAAAGCAACTATAATTTTATTATAATAAGCCTATAATTATTAAGTTCCTTCCTTAGTTAACATAACAATATTATGGCGTAGCATAAGTGAAACATATTTTTTCTATTTATTTATTTATTGTCTAGTTTACTTCTAAACAATATATAAAATAAGCAAATAAACAATGTTTTTATTTTAGATTAAATGCATTAAAAAGTGTTTCATGAAACGTAATCTTTAAATCTATTAACTAATACAGTTAGAAGTGTCTACTTGGCAACTTCATAAAAATAAATGCGAAATCATCGAAAATAAGATATCCAGCAGCTGTAGCCAAATGCCATTTAGCGCTTGCCTACATGTAGAATAGAAAACCAAATTATATGGAATTGACGTAAATTTTGACACTTGTCAGTGTCACCCCATAAATTTAGTTTTCTACTCTGTAGACAAGCGCTAAAGTGGCGTTTGGCTAAGGGCACTGAATAGTTTAAAAACGGCGGATTATCATGTAAAAGAATGAGAAGCTTTGCTAGTTTCAAGTCACAGAGGTATACTACCGCGTTCGTGCACGCGGCTTATGAAGAAGAGTCTGTGCGACTCGAAACTAGTAGAGCTTTACTCAATATTTCACGGAGTAAACCTTGTTTTTAAACAAATCTCATAAGAATAATCACGACAAAGAATCAAGATAATAAACTGATATTATTATTTATTTATAAATCTACAAAGAAGTTAAGCATGTTGTGTGATATTATATAGATTCTAAAAAGTGCATATCTAAGAAAAAAAATAGTAACAAAAATGTTGACCATCCTGTACTCATGATTACCGTCTCAGGGCTGTGTACTGTCAGCTGCAGTTGTACAACGTTATCATTATGCAAGAACGATCAGTAAATTAACTTTTAATTCTTCCTAGGGTTGCACGATAAAAAAAATAATTATTTGAAAAAGGTTCATACATTTTTTTTTTGTTTTTACATAATAATTGTACCTTAACACCGCCTGTAAACATTTTTATAATTGCGAGCTTACTTATGATGGTAAATATCTCGAAATATAAGTCATTCAGACGAAATATAGGGAGATTTTTTTTACTGCACCTCTATTTAGAAATTTAAGCAAACCAAATTTGTCCACTAATTTCCTATGGCAAGAGTGGCGTGGGAGGAAACACTGGGGTGGTTTTAGGCGGTAAGAGTCCGGCAAACCCTTTTCCCCAGGCGGAGGCAGTCCATGAGGATTACCCCCATTAAAAGAAAAAAGGATACGAATTATTAGATAGTATAATTGATATATTTTATGAGCAAATTTAGTGTTCAATTCAGTATTTTTGGCGGTAATTTCGAATATTTTGGGGAATTTACAGTTAAAGTATTAAATACGAATAGGTACTTAATATATGTGTCCGCAGGGAATTCCTGATTTAATAAACGGATTTCTGAATTAAAGCTTCACCTCGAAAATGTTAGCAATTACAAGAATTCTAAATCATTTTAGAATTAAAAGCTATATCCGACTTCGCATAATTGCTGTACTAGGAGGCAGTTAACCAATAATTATAGTGGCCGTCTTTGCAACCCACGGTCATTTATTAATTATTCAACTCAATAGTTTTATACATCGGCCATTTTATGCCTTTGTATTTGCAATTCTTGTATACGTATTAGCTTGTCTGTTTGTACGGGGAAATTGATTTAATATCACACATTTTGTATAAAATTCTAATAGTCATATTTTAAAAATCTCATCAGGCTAAATGAATTTATATAATGTTACTAGCGGACCCAACAGACGTTGTCCTGCATATCCACTTGAATGTATAAACAAAAATTCATTCAAATTAGTTCAGCTGTTTAGGATAAATAACCTAAACATCGACTGCAGCGCCATCTGCCGGGCTGATTTGTGAATCTAAACCATTCCCAGATCCCCTTGAACACACAAAATATTTCATCGAAATCGGTCCAGTCGTTTAAGAGAAGTTATAAAGATGGCCTTTTTACTCACCTTTTGTCCCGCATCACGCATCGCTTGGTAGACGTTCATCTTGCGGGTAGCGTCACGGACCAGGGAAGTCTCGCGCAGCACACGAGTAGCCCAGCGGCGGGCTTCTTGGCCCAATGTTTGGGCCACCGACTCGTGCTCAATGGTCACGCTATCAATCGGGTCATTGTCGCAAGGCTCGAACTCGTACTGTCAAAAACAATAAAAATATTACAATTTTGATTCTTTGCAAACTTTTCGATGCACACGTAGCTCATAAATATTAATGCGACATGTGATCACCTTACGTCAATTTCCCACGATCACTACTTTGTAAAACACATACATTTGGCATTCTATTCCTTATTTTTTCCACCGCAAATTGGCACATGTGGCGTATTTAGTAATTTGTGTAATTTCTTTCGACCAGGACTTAACAAGTGGAAAGCGATTTAATGAAAAGGTAAAATGTCGTATGATGACAGGGAAAATCCCTTATTTAATCTGTTGCAATTGTCTTTTGACCGACATAATTTTCTTAAAGTAGGTATAAATCAATCTTTTTTTTTTGTTTTGGACAATTGAAATATGGCCTGACGTCACTTCTATGTACGTTTTATACCTAGAGATGACGTTCTGCCACCCCTAAACTTTGATTTGTTTTATCTAAGTATTGTTTTCTTACATGAAAAAATAAAAATACGTCTCTAATGTTATTTTTCATACCTTACTTATGGACTACACATATTTCAATTTTCCCCATTTCGGATTCCCATCATCATCCCTATACACCACAATCGGACTAAGTAACCGAGTGAAAGCTATGATGCCAGACATAAATTTCCAATACTTACTCTAATTATACTAGATTTTTTTAACTCTGGTTTTGATAAACAGCAAAATAACGGTTTTTAGGGCTAACTCACCTAATGTCCACTAGTATTTGGTGTAGGAAGTGAAATTTTGCAGCGTATAATTTTCATTTAGGACATCGGAACTGTGGAAAAACTAGCGGGTTTTCCGCTAGATCTTCCTAACATGAGATGGTTTTAGTCATTAAGACAATCCCTTTCGTCTAACAATCCATTTCACCTCACCTCCGTCACTAAAAAGGGTGACTTAAAATGTGTAAATTGAATAAGACTGTACCTGAATGTGCTGCTTCAGCACAGGGTAGTACAAGTACAAGCATTGCAGGTTGTAGTCCGGGTCAATTGCTGCGCTTGGTCACGGATCTTCCCGAAGGAGTGCTGTGTAGCAGAGCAGGTGAGTAACTCCGTGCGGCCCATGAAGGTCAGGAACTCAGAGACCTTCTCATAAACGGCAGCCTCCATGCTCAGCATGCAGTTCTGCAGCTCTACCAGGAAATAGCGGTTCTGCGGAAGAAGATAGAAAATTTGATTTAGAATGTTGGAAGAAGTAAATAACAAGTTACAAGTCACAAATGTACCTCTTAAAAAATTGGTCATTCTATTTGTTGAATTTGATGCTTACCTGGTGGGCGTTAGCAGCAGCGATGCTGAGCAGATAGTCGTTCCTGGCTCCAGTAGATTTTTCCTCGAGTTGGTCACGACGAGAAGATACCTTAGCGCTGTTCTTCTGCAGCGACGTTATGGATTGAAAGAAGGAGCCTTTCTTCTTCTTGAGCCTGTGAAAAAGAGAGAAACTTTCTCATTGGGATGTTGTTCGGAAGACAAAGAAATTATAGACAATGTTGTATGTATTGAAAAGTGGGAAGCTTTTTGGACCGTTCTTAGATCATTCTCCTACCATAGGGAACTGCTATAACAGGCGATACACAGGGAGGGTACCTGGTTGATCTACTCAAAAGACCCAGTATTCCTTATATGTAGACGTTCTGACGGTAGCTACCAGGGTGAATCACATAGTGCCTAGTCTTTCTCCCAAAAACTAGCCACCTTTTAAAGTTATTCCCATTTTGAATATTCTTGTCCGTTCTGTTATTCACTGGCATTTTACGAAACATCGCATCGATGTTGTGGTATTCATAAGTCATGTTCTTTAATGAATATACACTTTGCTCAAACATGCTATGTATTGGTGTATATATGTATAATGTATATTGTATGTGTAACATTTGTGTGCGTATTTTGGCGGCGATCCAACTGCATTGGCGTCACGGGAAGGTCACTCATGAGAATCAATATTATTTTTAACCTATTTTCCTAGCCTAGAATCTAAAGATACTATCTGATGGGCAATATAGACTAGACCGAAATTGACTTCTTTTCTTTATCTACCTACATGTTTATATTAGAGCTTATATTTTCGATTATTTTATTATCGGTTTCAAACATTACAATTTATAACATAATAATCTGAAGTTATAAATCTCTATGAACGTAGAGGCTTTGATTAATAATAAATCGAGTGTATTCTTATAATTCATATGCAAGTGTACAGGCAACTTGTCTGCAAGATGACCATCATTAATTAGTCTAATATGCTCACCGTTTTCACTCGAAACTTAATAAGCATTGTTCATTTGATTTATTCTAATTTATAGATGTCGTGTGACCTTATGTTCGAGAACCATTTTGATTTAAAACTGTTGAATGGGTTAATGTAATATTATTATGTAAGTGCAAACAATATTAGTGAGCTAGTCAACGAATGCAAAACTTTTCATTTGTAAAACAATGGGAGTGACCCAAATGTACTGCATAAAGAGTGCTTATCCGAATATAAGAGGATGCTCATTATTGTTTTTCCAATTTCGTCTCTCTTTATTACATTTTTGTGTGACACTTATGGTTTGAGTGTATTTCTGAAGCCTTAAAAGTTCTGAAAGTTCTGTTATACTACTAAATCGGTTGGGAGTTTCCTACTCATGCAATGTGTGCCTCTTATTTAAATTCGGACTACCGTACTTTAAAAAAAAAGAAATATTTATTGCTGTCTATTGTTTCAAATTTTGATTGATCTAGCCCTATGTGCCTGGAAATATGGAAAACATTTTCAATTTATCGTTACAACGTCGAATGGTACGGATCACAAACTTTCCGAATGAAATAGCTCGACGTTTGGATATAAATCGAGCGTATTTATGGAATACTTCAGCTCTGTATCCTGTATATTGCAATTCTGACGGGACTACAATGTAGCGCAGGCATATGTTTAGGAATGTTCGGAATTATTAAAGTGTACGAGCGATTTTCAGAGCTCGACGATCAGATTTGTACAGATTTAGAGATTGTTGTATTTGCATATCTTTGATCATCTTTTTGATCTAAAACTAAACGAATGTTCGGGTAGATTATGACGACTAATGGGCTAGTTTTATGCTAGATAACGCTTCGATTTTAATCAATGAAAGTATGAGCGTTGGTGAGGACGTGTTTCGAAGTATTCACCCTGCATCTGTATTGGATATAAAGAACTAAAGATCAAGCTAAGTGGGTGCTATTACAGGGGTTTACGTAGTAGACAAAAGTTTATTGATAACATATTGCATACGAAGTGCTTACTTTTCCTCGATATCCTTAGCTTTATCACGGACATCATGAGCGGTGTGCTCTTCATCGAAGTACAGCTTCTTCGTTTTATCCACGTCGATAACAGTGGTCTGCAGTTCCTTGTGAGCTTGAGCGAGGGTGTCGGTACACTGAAACAAAAAATACAAAGTGTTAGTATATGGAAAGTGATGAGGATGCCCTAACGCCCATATACTGAAAGGCTACTCGACTTTGCTTCCCGCAGGCTTTTAGTGTTGAGCTGTATTTCGCTATGAGAAAAAAATTATCATTAGACTTAAACTATCTTAACTTATACATTGATTTGGTGTTCCCAATTCACAATAATGACACGGGGTCTTAACTCTATTTTAGAGGATTTATCACATAAATGGTGAAAAGGTTTCAGAGGCAACATTATGAATATAGCATTGAAAGGAGAAATTGTTAGTCATACTTATAAATAATGTTCTTCTGCAGCAGTTGACTTCTTCGTTGTGTGGTCTTCTTTGTTAAAAACAACCCGAGAAAGAAAAGAGCTTAAAGGCTGTTTCATGTTACTTTACGCCCAGTTCTTTGGCGGGGTGTTAAGAACAAAGCTCTGGACAGCATTGAGCTTCATCCTGAACTAAAGTTTGACTGAAACTTGTAGAGACCCAGATAGAGGTTCTATTTAGCACAGAACCATCTATCGGGGCGAAATACGAAATAATATTTCTTCTGTGTCACATGCATTATTATTAAATTCAGACCGAAACATTTTCTGTGCGGGAATCGAGCCCGCGATATGTGGCACAGCAGCCGGTCACCTAGCTTCTATGCTTTTGTTCAGTAAATATTAATTTAAACAAAATATGACGTCTTTATATTGAGGTTAATTTATAAGCACTTTTGACACAAGCATCAATTAATACAGAATTTACATGTAATCGAACTTTCTTATTGAAAAACAAACAAAAGAAATTATAGTAAGATATCGCACAATAGTAAGTGGAACCCTAGTTTTACAATGGTCATGGCCGTGAGAAATTGACATGTGACAATGATACGTATTTTATTAGCGTAATTACTGGGCGCAGAAAGAGAACCGCATTTACCAATCTTCTCAAGTTCAGAGCAGACGTAAAATCAAATCATGAGTAACCACAACGGTTTGAACGTAATAGTCCATTACAAAGTAATTATCCGCAGAGGAATGAAAACTTATGAGAAAATTATAAGAGTTTTGGTCAGGAAGTTCACTTGTAAATGCAGATGCCTGGTCAAGGAGCGGAGACAGGAGAAATAAGATGATACAGACATCCAAAGTAGACTTGCACAAAATATTTCTTTAAGGACACGCCAATTATATAAATGCACCTGCAATTAATTAAACTGCTTTTGGAACGATTCGAGGAAGTCATGGGTCAATTTATACATATATTCAAGGAAGAGGATTACAATTTGTGAAATTGAAATGATAAAACATTTCTAACTACATCAACATCAAAACTACAGGAGATGATGTGCCTTGGAGAAGCTGGAAGGTATAAGAAACAGTGTTTTGCTACGCTATATGCTACGTATATATATTAAATTATTTAAATAAATATATTGAGCTATCTTAAAAAATAGCGATAGGGAGTTTATATAATTATGTTCGCGCTGTGTCATATCATTTTTTTTAACTGGTGCTAATTAATCATTTGCTTTAATGATGCGAGGACATTATTCTGTAAGCTCTTTATTGCAAGTGTTTTATTTTTTCACCCCTTTCCCTAATATTTTTATATTGCGAATAGTATGTATGCTGCTGAATTACTTTCTTATCAACATGGTTCGTATGACTGTATTTTATATAATCTAAGTTACGGTTTACAGAGTGATTTATAATTTTTATAAAGTATTTTGTATACATGTTTTTTGAGCCGGAGTTCGATATTATACAGTTGGCTGAATTTGTAAGGCATTTCGCGAATGTTTTGTTTAATTTGATATATCAGTGATTGAAGAGAAAAGAAGATGAAGGCGAGATAAATACTGAGAGTAGGCGAGATAAATATGATAACCAGTAAGTAACTTTTCTAATTTGTTTTCTATTACCTACATAACAAAGTATATATTCATTTAATAGAGGAAGAATATCTTTTTTTAATGTTCGTATTTACGGCTATAGCGTAGCACAGCGTAGCATAACTTAACGTTTTAAAAAGTTTGTGTTTATTATTTTGAAAATATAGAAAGAATTCAAGGTTAGAATCTATACTTTCGGCTATTGGGAACAACTTACACGTACAATAAATATATGCCATATTTTAAAAATTAGAGTCACTGATATACAACAAACAAACAATATATCCTTCAATATATAAAAAAATAAATATGGTTTACACGAGGCATGTGTACAAACATTATGTTATCACGTAACAAAACACTGTAATAATAAAAACAAATACTATTTATTAACAGATACAATGACGAGGTAATAGAATATTGACACGACGTGAACAGATTGCTACATTGCTACGTATTGCCTACGGCGTAGCACCGTAGCCGGGCTACGAAAGCGTAGCAAACAAGACTTAATTGGTTCTTCGTGAATGAATGATTTATTTATTACACAAATATAGTTTAGTAAATACCATATAGGTATGAAATGGTAAATTTTATAATACTAGCTGTCCGTTCGTGGCTTTACCCGTGTTGTCAAGAAAATATTATAACTTTCTATCCTGGTAACTATTACCAGATAAAATTATAAAACACAATTTCGCATTTATAATAACAGTCATCCTTAAATCTTATGATAATTGTGAAGATTTCACCAAATAAGGCAGTTGTAGTACACATGTAAGTATAATGTAAGTTGTCTAAAGTATTAACAAAAGTTTATAATATGATACAACATTTTCGAATAAATAAAGATAGACAATATAAAGTCATTTTATTATGTGAAGAATATTCCTAAGTTCAAGAGGGTAGACAGAAATATAACCCATAGTTTTCGAAACGTTTTTTAAGAGTATTTAGTCTTAGTAGTCTTATTATAACAAGTTATGTACATTTTGTCATTTGTGAAGGTTCTACTTAGATTTTTATAATGAAAATTTTATAATTTCTTGTTTTAATATTTCATTGAACCTAACAATTGTTGCTCAGGTCTCGGTCACGCAAACAATAAAAGGAACAATAAATTTTGTTACCTTTACATTATGTATTAATACATTTATATGAAAATAACAATATTTAATTAGTATCAGTAATCATATTGATTTTATATAATACAGTTATATGAAATAACAATATGTAATTAGTATCAGTAATCATATTGATTTTAACTATAAAATTAATATTTCTGAAAAAGAAAATGTTTATAATTAATTAGGAAAATTATATGTAAGTGGAATGAATGTCATACTTATTTTATACACAAACAGATTATTTTACAATGTCAATGCTCGAATTCAACATTTTGATTTAAATACTGTAACTACGTATGCTACAAAGTGCTACATCTTGCTACGGCGTAGCACATAGTAATCTTGCTACGAAAACGCTACAAGCGCAGAAAAAAATATTACAAGTCTTTCTTCATTTCGTCTTCTCCAACTCCACCGCTTTAGGAAGTGTCGAACCGGGTATTCCATGTAACCATTAATGTTCGACAACATTAGTGTTTACATGGAAATGCCTTTCTTATGAAGAACCTTGAACTAAGTCTTGGAAGATGATCTTCTTTCTTCGATGAATATGGTACCACGCGGCCCATTATTACTGGTGCCGTTTTATTTCAAAATAAAAGACAGAAGCAATAATCGGGGCGCATGGCCCGAGCTCTAATGCAGCGCAGCTTCAGGAACAAAGTAGCATGATGTGAAATGAATTCAATAGGTCAGCCGTAAATAAAGTATGAATTGGCATACTTTAAGAACGACTCAACCATGGAATCCTAGATAATCTTGCTGTTAATGATGATTCTTGAAAAGTTAACTAAATAAATAAAGAACAAAATATCATCATATTCTAATATGCAAGACCGATCACTGAGCACAAAGTTGAATTCCAAATGTTGGTATTAGAGTAAATAGTTCCTCCACAGTAAGTGCTTTTACTTTATGAATTACATATATTTCTGACTACTGTCTTGAAGGATGGTACATAGGTACAAAACATTTAGAAATACATTATCAAAAATATATTTTCTATATCAAGAAATAAAAACAAAATGAAACGAGTACGACATTAAAAACAAATTTCTTCTTTCTTCAATCTTCTCAATGTGCGTTGCAGATATTATGCACAGCCAGCCAAGTGATTTAATATCCGGGTAAGAAAACAACGATTGATTCACTACAACGATAGTAACTATTAGTTGACTCTCCAGAAGGCTTTGTTAAAACGCAACTAGAGTAGTAAAACCATAGCTACTGCCTCTGATCTAAAACAATTTTTATTTCCTTATCCGTCTACTAGATAACTTGGCCGGACATGCATACATGAGACGCACAATTTTCCACATTCTTGCTTCCTGTCTTAATGGTTCTTAGGTACGGACATTTCTTCTGCGGTCTTGAAAAATTTGCTTATAATAGGATAGAGGAATCTTCACAATGCCTAATGATTGTCGTTACAAACTACGACCAAGCAATAGGATTTGTGAAAGCCCCCCATCCTTTGGCTGCCCACTATATGTAGAAATATTACATACACAGTACACAGATTTAAATAAAACAAAGAATATATAAGCAAATAGAAGTAAGACATTCTTAGGGTACATTGTAATGCTATTCATAATGTTTACCCATGCTTAAGGTATAAACAAATAAAACAAAAAACATATTACAAGAATTAATTAAATAGTTCTAGTGTCTTCTGCTTCCATCTTGAAATCTTCGATGATTGTGGTATAGAGGGTTGTACACAACCCAACCGTCAGGAATTACATAAAATTGCTGCCGGAAGTAGTTGTGAAAGAACCATCTACCCATATATGCTGTCTTGGACCTTCTTATCTCCCAACTTTTTAATTTTCTGGTAATTCAGTCTACAAAAAATATTTAGGTACAGATATATTTATCGCGATGCATTTATAATCATTATAAATATCATCCACTGCTGGACTACGGGACTCTTCTATAAAAGAGGGCTTTGTCATATTTCCCACGCTTAGCAGACAGGATAGGAGATCGCAGTCTAAAAGGATCAGGTTTATCAGAGATGGGCGTTCCCTAAAAAACGTATTCCTTTTGGACTGCTTGACCTCTGTTGAATTTGTAGTCCATTAACGATTCTTACGATAGCCGTGGTAAGACTAGGTGTGGCGATAAAGATGTTCTACTCTGCCTTTGCCATACATGTAATACAAGTTGCAATAATCAATCTTAAGTTTAATAGATCCACTGTCTTCAATAGTCTTGAGGCGTCGTCGATGACTGTGGTTGAGGTACTCCCACAATCCCTCGTGCACGCAACTATTGAACATTACGTAGACAAGGGCGTTGTGAGAGCAACTCTACCATTTGGTTGCTGCGACTAAAGATTTCGTATACCTTTACAATCATTTTAAACAAACAGAAACAAACGAGGCACAAGTAATCCTTGATATTATGACAAGTGTTTCTAAGAAATTAAAAAATAAGCGTCTTCTTTCTTCAATCTTCTCAATGTGCGTTGCAAACATTATGCACCGCCAGCCAAGTGATTTAATATCCGGATAGAAAAACAACGATTGATTCAGTACGACGATAGTAACTATTAGTCCACTATCCAGAAGGCTTTATCCAAACGCAACTAGAGAAGTATAACAATAGCTACTTCCTCTGTTCTAAATAAATCTTTATTTCCTTACCCGTATATTAAATAACTTGGCCGACCATACATAAGATGCATAATTTTCTTGATTTAGCAGCAAATCTTCTTATCTTCGATGATATTGGTACTGAGGTACGGCCACAACTACTTCCCGTGATTGACGACTATTGAACGAATCACGAAGAGCCGTTGTGACCGTAACTCTACCATTCTTCTTCAGTCTTCTTAATAACTTTTACGTAATGATTTCATACATTAAATAAAGAAAATAAAATAATGTTTATTTCGGACAAGTGATATATCAAGTGAAACTATGTTACTACCTATTTTGTTACAAGCCTACTGTTGGGAATGCATCTTCTGTTGGGAATCACCATCATCTGTTGGGAATACATTAAACATCATACTAATATTATAAATGCGAAAGTTTGTGTGTATGTTTGTTACTATTTCAGTAAAAATGCTGGACGGATCTGAATTAGATTTGGTATGGATATAGTTATTGTAATCTGGATTAAACATGTAGTATTTTTATTTATGTGATGCAGGAGGTAGCTGCTGTCAGAAGCTAATATTACATAAAAACTAATATTTAAAAAAAAAATGAAAATATATAGAATAAAATTGTTTATTAATATAGTTTGCCGTCACTTGGGATCTTCATATCTTCGATGATAATAAGGTAGAGAGGGACAGTCACATTGCTCCCTTGTGAGGAACAATAAACTGACTCACAGCAGAGCCTTGTGAAGGTACCTCTACCTTTTTTCTTCATTCTTCTTTCTATAGATCTATTTTATTTACACATAAATCTCAATAGGATTTGGCACATTATTGACTTAAAGTCTGTCCTTTATTTCGGATATTACATTCTTATAGAATGTGACAGAATTATTATATTACGTACATTGATCACATTTTTTTACCAAACTTCTTATTTTATCTAATAATCTTAATTTTCGCTATTTGAAGCTCAGACTCAAACTCAGCTTCAAATAGCGAAAAATAAGATTCTATAACACACTTTCCTTTACATGTCTTAGCACACACATCAAAACAAAAAGCATACAATTTGGTTGGCAGTCGTTTAGAAGTTATACGCACACGTACGATACCAAGAATTAAGTTTATTATTAGGTCTACTTAAACATATGATTAAGCTGGAACCGCAGCACATGAATAGAGGGTGGGCACAAGCTCTCTAACTTGTTGTCATTGAACAGAACAAGCCAGAAGGCTTTGTGACACCCTCATAATCCTCGGTTGTAGAAGACTGGATCTTTTGTTGAATAACATAATAAATTTAAAAAATACCCTTGTAATACACATTTCATAGTAAAATAATTTAATTCTAAGGCGGTACAATATTGTCATCTCATGTAGGTACAAAAATTAATAGACTATAACAAAATATTTAGTAGTTGAGTCCATATTGGTCTTATAGTGTTATTGAAGAAGACTGGGCTTAGGCTTACCCAGTATATGTATAAATGGTGTAATCATCATTATCAACAGCTTATGCTGCCCACTGCTGAGCAAAGGCTCTTCTCACATAGAGAAGGTTTGAGCATTAATCACTACGCTTGCTCAATGCGGGTTGGCATTTACAAACTTATTAGAAATAATAAGCCAGGGTTTCCTCACGATGTTGTCCTTCACCGTTTTTCAGTGGTGTCTAGATAATCTCAGAAAGTACATATAACTCAGAAAAAGTTACATTGGTACTTGCCGGTGGTAGGTTTCGAACCTGCACCCTCATGAGAAGTAAGCGTCTTAAACCTCCGGACCAGCAAGACAGTCCTAGTCCATCCAATGGATTACATACATTTATATTATTATTCATACACCAGTGCATTAAGAGAAACATGAATTACATAAAAATCTTAGAATAATTTTTCTTCAGTTTCCATCTTGAGGTCTTCGATGGTAGTGGTATAGAAGGATACTTCCAAAGCGTATTTCTCAGAAATTCTGAGCAACAGGCTTTAGATGTACCCTCCTATCCGTGGGCTGCCACTTCTATCTTCATCTTCTAGAATATATCTTGTCTAACGTTTATCCAATGCGATCTCTGACCTGACGGCTTAATACTTAGTACATGTGTATCACTCTGCATTTAATTATAATTTTGATTACGATTTAACTACTTTTTATTTTATTATGTTTGTGGCTTTGTACATAATTTTAATTGTTTAAGATTTTAAAAACGATTCTGACTCCTAAATATGACTAAATATCCTAATTTAAAGTTCCTATCTTGTTGTATTGCATTTGTTTTTGATTTTATTGTAGGTACTTTTATTTTTTTTTCTCCGAATAACATGTCAAACTGTGTTCCCTTCAAATCTTATATGGTTATGCCCGACAAGGTTCACATTGTGGAATATTAGGTTTACCATCTAAGTCATACATGTGGAAAGCAATATTGAGTACTGAGTACTAGTTTGTTTTGACCGACTCCAATGGATCAGAGCGTCGGACGCGATTTCGTCTCGATCTTGTTCGACGTAAAACACAATTGCACTAAGGCGTCAGAAAGTAACATGATACTAGATTCTAGTATATTCTAGTCTCTACTGTATTCTCTAATAAAGTCAGGCAAGATATCACATTACCTTACTTTTTAGTACCTTAGAGTCAAATTCAATCAAGTGTGAATTCAATTAATAACATAACAAATTCAACCATAATATCTCCACTGCATACTGCACACATTACTTTGAGGTTTCATTTGTTGTCTGCATTTTGTATATTTCTAAACGATTATTTAACTGATTATTTGAACGCACTAATTTCCAGAACTAATAGTTTGAATTGAATCATTATTTTTTGTGTGGGATAGTCTCCATGGGGTAGTGGATAAACGTATCGAGGAAGGCTATAAAACCACATGATACAATCGATAGGAGCCGGGCAGACACCGAGCGAGAGTATCTAGTGCTTGTAGTAGTATACGGAATTTTTTAATTATCTGTTAACTTATTTATATTAGTATTATTTTATCATACACTTAAATTTTATTTTTCTAAAAATATTTGCGATAGTTATTTCAAATTGTTTCAACTAAACAAATAGTTTATCGTCCAAACTGCCTATAAGGTGCAAGGTACACTTTCAAATCCATATAAACAAAAGACACAATGGGCACATAATGAGAATTACAGATAAACTAGTAACAGAATACGTGTAAGAAGGTATGAAGTACGTTATACAATAATGTTATTAATCAACTGATATTATAGTCGTAATACTCAAACGCCACTAAATTTTAAGACGCGCAAGTATAGTTCTGTCTCTAGAAAACCTTTGTAAAAGACAGAGATGACACGATATTTAAGTACGACTTAAAGTTAAGTAGCCTATTAGTATTAGGGCGTATCATATTTAATTTAATATTGATTTGCGAAAGAATTGTAACTTCAAACTACATAACAATAATATTAACTCCTTACACGAATTCTGTTAAGAACATAAATAAGGTCCCTACCTTTTTGGCCACGTTCAGCTTATGTTGGCGAAGGAATTTGGCTTCGTCAGCAATCTGCTGCTGGAAGACCTCGACAGCAGCCAGACGAGCTCGAGCCAACTTCTCATTCTCCTCCAAGACCGTACGCCAGACGTTCCACATGTTCCTGAGAACAAAGCATTAGTTGGAGTCCATTCACCAGCACAGTACAGGACAAGTCAATCATAGAGGGGAAGATTTAGCTAATTTAATAATTTTTTTCTTTGTTACAGTAAAAATGTTTTCTATACATTTTGTTCGATATTGTGAATTATGACAAATGAAAATAAATGGTTTTTAACATTCGTAATATTAATTAGTAGAAACAATTCATTTTTGTCTGAGCAAACATTTGTATTGTGATGCAACTGGCTAATACAATACACACAAAACATTGTTTTATAATAATTATGTATTAATGCAACGCTTAGCAACACTTCTAAATTAATTTTATTTTATATTAAAATCATTAAAAATAATCCTAGTCTAAAAATAAAAGTATCACACATGTTATTATACTATTTTAATCATTGATCAGTGATTGCGTTAAAGCGTAATTTACAATTGGAAAAGACGATATTATTATGTTATAGTAAAGCATTTCAAAATAATGATGGCATTCGTTCTACATAAATTACCGACATTCTGTAAAACCTGGTTAATTTTTATACCCAAAACTAATTATTAAAAAGCCAGGTTAAAGTTATGTTGTCATTTTATAGTTCAACACATGGCGATGACACATGCAAGCGTTGCGCCGGTACTAAAGTGTCATTCAAATTACCAGCACGTTGCAAATTTTATTAAAAAATCCCGCTGGCAACGAAAATGTATGAAAGTTTTTAATATGGTCGTATTTCGTGCATTTCCTACTGAAGTAAGCTAGTCTAAAATTAATTTGAGTTGAAGATTAGTTGCATAAGATATATTGATGGATAACTTTGTTAAAGTTAGTTCGCTCTAGTTACCTGTTGTTTATCTTAGGTTTTATACGTTAAAAGTATTTCCCTTTAATATTATATGAGAGAAACTATGTTCACAAAGTTACAGAGAAATGGAAACATTTTTACTATTTCTTAAAAAGTATGTTTAACATATTCTGATTTTAGTAGTAGGGGCGATGAAACTTTGAATTCGTTGATACGCAAGTGTTCTAACAGATGGCGCTACACGTCTCTTGGCTGATAGTTTCGAGAATTTATCTCATTCAGTGGTCACGATCGAGTATTAGTGGTATCTTTTGATCTTACAATATATACATTAAAAATATTTGTAAAAATGCTAAAGTGCGAGTCGGATTCGCTAAGTTCCATCAATGTAAAAAGTAGCGAAAATAACGGCAAAATTACTTAGTATAAAACACTAATCTTTCACTACCATATCCTTTAGTTCTAGAACTCTAGAAATCGTACCCATTGCAATGACACTGTTATAACAAAGCCTGCACCAGCTACAATCGGTCGATTTGCACAACAATCAGATGCAATGGTATCAGTCACAGATTAGTTTTGTCTACACCACGATCAAACAGTTACAATTCCACAAACAATATTGTAGGGTACCATCGTATCTCTGACCTTTCACTCATTCAAAGACCAGTTTAAACTGGTTTTGCATAACTTGTTTTCTAGTAGTGTGGACAAAGCCTATATTTCGATAGTCCAGCGGACTGTCAACGTGAGCCTTTATTGCTTACAGAGACTTTTAACGTATCAAATGGTCAGCATTCGTCAAAATTGTTCTGTCAATCACAGATTCTCAGTTTGATGCCAGAATGACACTTGTGTATAGAACTTATGACATGACATACAAAGGCTTTGTTCGTACCTTATGCATCTGTGACAAACGAAGGTTTTTGGTGTAACTTTTGTTCCTATGACAAGTTACAAAGCTGGTTTTGTTTTAATGTTGTATCAGTAACATTTAGAGATAACTTTGATCATTTCAGATTACGTTTAAACATAACATTACGCCATCCCCGAAGGGGTAGGCAGAGCTGCACATTATGCCACTGTACAATTATAACACCCACTTTTCACTATTTATGTTATGAGTCCCATGTAATAGGGGGTGAGCCTGTTGCCATACACCGGGCACAATTCCAGATTCCGCTACTACTGAGAATTTGTTAAAACCCAGTAATACTTTGCCCGACCCGGGAATCGAACCTGAGACCTCTTGCCCGGCAGTTGCACTTGCGACCACTTGCCCAATGAGGCAGTCAGCCATTTCGGATTACTACAGAGTTTATAATGCAAGTTACCGCATTGCAATAAAATGAAGGCAGCAAGTCAAAATTAGGGCCTTTGCTAATGTAATATTGACAAACTAAAATGTCAAATCATTCGATATAACGTCATATTTTTATCCCCAAATCAAACGATTACATACTTCGAAAACAAATCGGGTTTAAAAATTCACGTATTTTAGGTTTTTAAAACATAATAGATTTATCATGGGCCTTTAGATGAAAATCTGTTCATCATTTAATAGTACCGTTAATCACTCATCGCGAACGGACAAATTTAATATATTACAATTTGACATATATGGCAACACACGTTTCAAAATGTTACTGTAATGTGACTTTGATGTGAATTTAAATATATAATCGTCCGATTATTTAATAATTTATTATGAGTAGACTGTATATATCGTTTAGTGGTAATGGGTTTTAATGATATGAATACAGAAAATAACAATGAGCAAAGGTTATCTGATTTTTTTTCTAGTCATAAAGCCCGTACAGGATTGGGATCCAGACTTTAAAGATGCATGCTTCGTATGCTTAAGAGTGTGGGTTCAGAACCTAAGAACGGTAAGTACAAATGTGATTTTTTTGAGTTATACTAGTACTTTCTAAGATTATTTAGACACCACTGACAAACGATGAAGGAGAACATTGTGAGGAAATCTGGGCTTATAATTTTTAATAATAAGTTTGAAATCGCTAACTCGCATTGAACCAGCGTGATGAATATTGCTCAGACCTCCTCCGTGTGAGAAGAGAGCTTTGGTCAGCAATGGCCACTTGGAGGCCGTTGATGTGATGTGATACAGCAATAACTAATGAAACCTCTCTTTACTGCTTCAGACAAAAAATCCAATAAAATTCATCAAGTTTAAAGTTATAACAAATAATAGTTACCAATTTTGAATTAACTATTAATTATTACAACTATCTACTATACAAATTAAAATTAAAAAAAAAAACAAAAAATACTTTGAATTTATAAATATTTGAACTTGTTAACTAAAACAAATAGTGGAAAGTGGGTGTTACATTGTACAGTGACATAATGTACACCTCTGCCTACTCCTTCGAGAAAAAGGCGTGATGTTATGTTTATAGCCTCTCATTAGAAGATATTGTCACAATCATATCTTTTCAAACGGGTGAGTGATTACACATTTGTCAGAAATCTTACCTGTGTTATAGACAGGACACCTCTTTTCTATGGACACAAGACTGATACGCTCCGGGAACGCCACGTTTAAGCGGCGGCTTGTTCACGACTGAGAGTTCACGTCTGGGTCGAGAGGAGGGTGGCGCGTGGGTGGGCTTAAGACGTGGGCGCGAGTGCCATGGGAGTGATGGAAATTACCATGTTATTTATTGATTTCATTTCAGAACTACAAATTGGATTTTTCCAGACTCGTGTAAAAATATTGGAATGATTACGAATATTATACTTGTAGGTAACGTTGCTGTTTATGATAAAAATTAGTACATAAAATTATTACGATTTATCCTAAAGTTCGAGTTACAAATTACATTCGTGTCTTTGTTATTGAAACCTTAGAAATAATGTCATGGCACTTAACTGGTGAGTTATGAAAAACTTAACTTTCAACGATAATGCGATTCAAGTTTTATATTACACAAACTAACCTTTTCGTAGGTTTTTTTAATTTTGCCCTACACTAGGAATATCTCCTGTATCGTGGGTGCGTTTACATACAATATCACATACACATGACACCCAGACCCGGAACAACAATCTATGGATCACACCAAAGAGTTGTTTCGTCCGGGAATCGACCCCGCGATACGTTGCGCGGCAGTCAGTTGCCCAGCCATTGCGCCAACCGTGCAGTCAAAATTTTAACACCACTGACAAGAAGTAAGTCATAGGCTTGTGGAGTCGAACACGTGCGTAACTACTTGTATAAGAAATGGTGTCAATTTAGGTAACTAAATACGTAACATATTTGTAATTTTTTTTGCCTTTATTTACTACGAAAATATAACACCACCTATAATTGGAGTTTGCTATTTTTAGTATGAATTTATGAGCAAAAATATTGTGATGTAAAATATACCCCAGTTGGCAGTTTACAGGTTAAATTTTAGTGCAGAGGTTAATTACGTTAACCCAAAACTCCGCGCTTCAGGATTTTAAAAATACTATAGATATTTCGGTGTCGCAAGCCTTAAACGTAGTGATAAAATATTTCCGCGTTCATTTTGCTTGAAGACCGAAAATAACTTCTATATTATTTGCAGGTTCAACTATTATCGAGTTTCATTCAAAACTAATTTATGTTGTTATTGTTTATGTTTGTTTCACAACAAACAAGTGTTGGTTTTGAGTCGTCACTTTAAACTAATTACTTCTTTAGTCGAGTATTCACAAGCGCGCAACAGAGTCAAGGCATACTATTTTCAAGTGATGTAAAGTTTTATACTATACTTTTTTTTTTTTTTTTAGGGGGGAAAATCATCGAATGACTGCTCCCGCCTGGGTGAGGCGGAAGGGAGTGTCAGACTCTTACTGACTAAAAACCACCCCGTTCCTTCTCCTGCACGTCGAGCCGGAGCCCCGGTTACCCGTTAGGTTCTCCGCGACTCCGAATCGGCATCGGCCCTATTGGGCCCCATCTGTGGTGGTCTGATGGCTCTTTGAGGCGCGCGCGGAACGCGACGCGCCGTACGCTCGGGTCTGTTTCTGGTCGGACGGGGAGCCACCCATGCTCGCCGTCCGCAGGCCCGCGCTTACGGTGGCCGGAGATCGTCCCGCGATCCCCGACGCCCGGTGTTCCTTCGCGATGGCTGGGTTGCGAGGAGGCAGCGCTTCGCTGCCTCACGCGTCCCCCTCCTCCTTAGCCAGCAGACTGCTTCGCAAAA